CATGAAAAGCTTTGCAAATTCAGTTAAATATTACAAATACAAATTACCAACACTGTTCTCTTACGTTAAGAACGCTACAGGCGCTGCAAAAGATAGAATGACAAAGTGGAATAACGCGGGAACAAAACGGATTCTCAAATGGAATCGGGCAATGCTAAACGAAAGAAAAGCACTGTACCTATGCATCTTTGTGATGAGTTATGCGGATTTGTCGAGCTTAGAAACAAAAAAGTGAGAAATCTTGCAGTTGCACTGTTAGAGAACGATAAAACAATGACGAAACTAGGTCCGTTTAAAACGCTAAGGGAGGAATTGCATAAAAATTGCCAAGAAACCTTTAAAAATCGCTCTTTGTATTCCATATGCTTGGATAGCAAGCCAGATACATAATGTGCCCGATCTTTTGCACTCTCGCCACTTCGTAATTGGCACCAATCTTTCGCGCTCGTGCTGTACTCCTTCTCCAGCTGATCCAGTATTGGCATTACCTCAAAAAAAGATCCAAAGGTTAAAAAATTTCATATACAGCGCATTGCTTTAACAATATTACAGCAAAACAGATGCAAAATAGTTACATGTCCCTTCAATACATGACGAGTAGGAGGCTGTACTGACGATTTTCACACCTACCCGTATGCACAGTCCGGCCTGTGTTTACAGCTAAGGGATGAAACACAGGCTGCATCGTAAAATGTCTTTTTGTATATGATACTTATGTCGAATCCTTTTCTACTCTACTATTGCACACGCAAAACACAGTGAATGAGATTCGGGATCGCAAGTTTGGCTCTTCGTGCTGGCAAAGTATTACATGCGTTGTGCCCAAAAGCATAGTCTTCTAAGTTTTTTTCAGTTTTCCTCTTGTTATTGCGTTCATGCCGACCAGGTTTTTCCACGCAAATATACGTTCCATCATTTTCAGTCCGGTACCACACTGAGCCAGGCCTGCTATTATCATTCGAATAATTACCAATTTTTTCACAGAAATGGGGACTGATAAATATCAGATGCTAATTCTGGGAGCATTTAGCAAATCTGTAACAACTGTTAGCACTGAGCGAACGTAATTTCATCTAAATGTTTTGTCTCATGCACAAAAAAAAAAAATATACCCCTTGATGCAGTGTTTTGTAGCAGACCACACCGGCTTTGATGAGTTTGT